AGACGAGCGCAGGACGACAGGCGCTGGGAGGTCGACAGATTGGACAGGTGTGGGTCGTGAAATATTTATTATACGATGGATAAATCTGGAGAAAAGGAGAACTGAATTGTTTCGAGATCAAAGTTTACTGGATTTTTTCGTAGGAGAGACAAATTCAGAGAAGCGTATTTCGTCCTGTTTTTTTATTATTATTATTATTTAATCTTTTGAAAGTTGCAATCACAATTTTCTTCTTCCACAGGTCTTCAGTACGAGTATCGTTGATTCTTCCCGAGGAGCCGCCCACAGATGCCTCCCACACCCCCACGGCCTCTCCCCACACGCCCCTCGTGGTCCCTTCCCCTTCTGCAGACGCCCTCCACACGCCCGAGGACCCCAACACCACGTCCTCGTACCTGTCTCCTACGGACGCGCCATCGTCCAAGCTCCGGAGGGCTTCTCAGGACACCACTGCAGGACTTCCAACGCCGACGCCCTCCCCTTCCTCGTGCCCGTTCTCCTCCCAGCCCGCGGACTCGACTTCGGACTCGACGAGGAGCGCCAGCCACCCGATCACTACGTGGCTCTCGATAACCACCGAGATTCGCAAAGCCACGAGTCTGTCGCAGCCGAGTAAACATGCTTCCAAAACGACCGATTCGGCGTCAACCATAAAGCCTGCGGTCTCAGCGGCAACGTACGAAATCGCCAACGAATCACTCGCCAAAAATGCTTTGTTGCCCCTCGAGTCCCCGAGTGTCACGAGCCCCCTTTCCCCGGCTGACCAGACGTCGCCCACCGCAGCCCCGTCCTTCGGCAGCCACCCCAGCCCAAGAAGACACGCGGAGACGCCGACCGCACTAAGCCGACCCTCGCCCCTGCCGCCCGCTGCTGTAGGTCAGAGGCAGGGTGGGTCTACAGGGTCAGCGGCAGACAGCTCACCGTCCTGCCAGTCTTCCAGCCCCCACCGCAGCCCCCAGGTCGCCCTGCCGCAGAGGGAGGCGACAGGGAGAACAAGTACTCCGTCCGGCACGAAGAGAAAATGTAGACCTACAGCTACTGCCATGTAAATACTAACTTTGGGCTCAGATGGTAATCAAATCAAACGAAGAAACATATCGGTGCAAATGTAATTATATTCTCATTTATGATATTGCTAGGACATAAAAAATGTACGTACAATCATAGAAACACTGACATTCTTTGTCTCACTATGTTTCATGCCACTGAATGTTTAATATCCAGTGTAAAATGTTATATCTGTATATAGATAATGGAGACCAAATGTAAGTTTCATGATTTCCCCAACTAGGAGTTACGAAGTCCAAAACAGAGCAAAGTGTTTACAAAGTGCCTTTGTAATGATCTCATATCATTATGCATTAGCGAACTATGGAGAGAGGAGAGAGAGAGAGAGAGAGAGAGAGAGAGAGAGAGAGAGAGAGAGAGAGAGAGAGAGAGAGAGAGAGAGAGAGAGAGAGAGAGAGAGAGAGAGAGAGAGAGAGAGAGAGAGAGAGAGAGAGAGAGAGAGAGAGGAGAGAGAGAGAGAGAGAGAGAGAGAGAGAGAGAGAGAGAGAGAGAGAGAGAGAGAGAGAGAGAGAGAGAGAGAGAGAGAGAGAGAGAGAGAGAGAGAGAGAGAGAGAGAGCGAATGGCATCTAGCAGACTGTAACCTATGCCCACGCCACCTCACCTCGCCGACGTACTGTACAAAGGGTGCGTACTTTTATATCACTTCCCAATAATGAGAATGTTATTGACTGGTATCGGTCGCGGTCTTGTATGTATATGGGGAATAAAATTCTATACATACAGAGCCCCTACAAACGCTCATTGGGGAATGCTTCAATATTTGAATTCCTGGTGTTTTATTTATTTTTTTTTTTTCTCTCTCTCTTTTAAGCTGTCAAAATTTTAGGGATAAACGCACATATACGCAAGGTTTAGATATATTTGAATGGTTATATCGATAAATATCTTATCAAGGCCAACTCTTAATGGTACCAACATTGCGTCTTTGTGAATTTGAAAAAATTTACTCTAAATAAATCATGTCCGCCGAGTAGTAGTTCCATATACGCGCAGGTGCCAATGGTCACTTTTCTTCTCTTTTCTGTTCCTGATGAAACGTTAGCTCTGCCATTTCAACTCTAAACGACATGAGACACCTTGTCTCTATCTGACCATAGGTATAGTTATTACTATTACTAATGTTCCTATTTCTAAAACTCATGGCTGCTGACGCTAATGCCCTTGATGCTGTAAATGCTGTGCTGCTGTTGACGTTACTGGTGCCGCTAGTACGGCTAATAGTACTTTTCTTGGTACTCCTACTGTTACTATGACTGTTACTGTTATAAATACTGCTGTTGGTATTAATATTGCAACTTCTACGAATACTACGCTGTTGCTAGTAGTGCTGCTACTACTAAGACTTCTACTTCTACTGCTTGATAGTAATAATTATAGCTATTACTACTACTAATGATAATGATAATGATAATGACAATAGTACTAATGATGACAATAACAGTAAATAATACTGATACTACTACTACCACTACTACTAATAATGATTACAAATATCATTATGATAAAGATGATGGTAATAGTATTGATGATAATACTGATATAAAGGATTATGATAACAATAAGGATTATATTATAGTACTACTTATGATAATAACGACAACAATGATGATATGACAATGATGATAATAATGATACAACAATGATGATGATAAAAATGATTATCATAACAGTTGTTCATGATGATAATAACAATAATGATAATGGCAATAAGACTAAAATGATAATAATAACAAACATAGCAATAATGAAGATAATATTAACGACATTGGTAGTAATAGTATTGATGATGACCATGATAATAACAATAACAATAATTATAACAATAATAATAATAATAATAATAATAATAATAATAATAATAATAATATAATTAATATGATGATGATACTACTACTACTACTACTACTACTACTACTACTACTAATAATAATAATAATAATAATAATAATAATAATAATAATAAATAATAATAACAATAAAATAATAACAATAATGATAATAATAGTTTCAATAATTTCAATAATGGTAATAATAATAATGATAATAATAATAACAGAAATAACAAAAACAACATCAATGTTGACAGTGATAATGATTATGATAATGATAATTACGATGATGATAATATTAATAATGATAATAGTAATAATAATAATAATAATAACAATAATAACAAAATAACGATAACAATTTTGCCAGTTGTGCAATTATGATAATAATAACAAAAATAGCAATGATAATATTGATGACAACAAGAACAATAATAATACCAATTATATACACAATAGTAATAATAATGGCAATGATTATAAAACGAATAATAATAATAATAACAATATTACATCCATTAATGATGATGATGATAGTAATAATGATGATAATAATAATAATAATAAGGACAGCAAGAATTATAAGAATAAGAATAAGAATAATGCTGAAGATAATGATGATGCTGATGAAAATATTGATCATGAAAATATCAATGATAATAATAATAATTATCATTATAATGATGATGATAAGGATGAGGATGACGATGATGATGATAAGGATTATAATGATAATAATAATAATAATAACAATGATAATAATGAAAATAATAGTAATAATAATAATAATAGTAATAATAATAATAGTAGTAATAATGATAATGATAATGATAATTATTATCATGATTATAGTAATGATGATGATAGTAATAATAATAATAATGATAACAATAATATCAATAATGATGATGATGATGATAATGATAATAATGACAATAATGATAAAAAATGATAATGATGATGATAATAGTAATAATAACAACAACAACACGAACAACAACAACAACAACAACAATAATAATAATAACGATAATAATAACAGCAACAATAACAATAACAATGTAGGTGACATAATGATAATCATAATAATGATAATCATGATGATGATAATGACAATGATAGTAATAATGATAACAATAATAATAATAATAATAATAATAATAATAATAATAATAAAAATAATATAATAATAAATAATAATAATAATAATAATAATAATAATAATAATAATAATAATAATAATAATAATAATAATAATAATAATTGTAATAATGATAATGATAATGATAGTAATAAATAATGATAATAATATGATAATATAATAATAACAATGATAATAATAATGATAATGATAATAATATAATAATAATAATAATAATAATAATAATAATAATAATAATAATAATAATAATAATAATAATAATAATAATAATAATAATAATAATAATAATAATAATAATAATAATGGTAATAATAATCATGAAAATAATACCGATAATAACAATAATAATAAAGATAATAACAATAACAATAATAATAACTGAACGATTATTAGACATAAGTCATAATATCATAGGGCTTAAAATGAATAAGCATATGGACTCCTAATACATCACATTAATCTGAATGCGCTGATAAATTAATTCTTGATTAGTTCCCCTTCAGTAAAAGAAGCATCAGTTTTCTTTGAAAGAAATTGTTTCTTTTATTTTCGGTTTAAGGAAAGCATACACTAAGTAAATTATTATTATTATTTTTTTATTCATATATTTTTATTTTTATTTCTATTTTTTGATAACCGAATGTTCGGGCACATTACGAAATCACTTCCTTTGATATCACACGCACGCACGCACGCACGCACGCACGAGATGGTAGTCTACAAATACTCCCTATTCACAATGAGCTGATCACAGCATATATTTTCCAGTGAAAATAAATGTATGTGTAAGTGATGTAAGTGTGTGGGTGGCTGCTGCTGCTTGTGAAGCAGAGAGACCCTGTTACTGGTGGTGCAAATGTTGAATATTTTAAAGTTTAATGTTTTAAACAAATTAAACAAATAAATGTGCTAGGCATCAAATGTCAAATAGCACTATGGTAAAGTATTTAGCTGGAAAGGGTAAAGATTAGGATAAAATGTGTTAGATGTCAAAGATTAGTGATCGTTAAAGGATAGTAAGGCAGTGAAAAGGGAATAGAGGGAAGGAAACTAGAGCAGAAATTAATAGAAAGGGGAAGATTAAGGGGGTAGAGCGATTGAGTGAATAGCATTGTATCTCTGACTGGGGAAGGAATAGGGACATTGTTCAAGGGTGGCTGTTGGAGAAGTTGGCAGAGAAGAATCCGGGGTATGAGAAAGGGGACTGGGGAAGGTGGTGCTTGGGCAGGAATATGGCTTCAGTCATTTATGTCTACCCTGCCACTTTAAAACATGTGGCCACCATCCCTATGAAAATCAGCTGTTACCAAGTGTGAATGGGCTTGTAGAAAATGAGCTGATGACCAGAACTGCATTGGTGGGCAATTCCTGTTAATCCTATCATTCATCTGTATGATATGGTGTAACATTAGTTGTTTAGTTACTTGGACTTAACTAAAGTGCATAATTTTCATTTTTGAGTACTGGATAATGGTTACAAAGCAAAATAAATATGGTATACAGCAAAGGTCATAAAGCCCTATAAAAAGGGTAAAGAGTCATTGAAGATTAAATGTGCTACATTTTAAAAGTTCTTTAGCAGGAAGGGGTATAGGGGGAAGATGAGCGGGAGGATGGATGAAAGTCGGCATGTCACTCTGAGTGTAGATAAAAGGGTGGGGGGGGGATGATGTGTAGGCCTGTTAGCTTTGGTCATAAATAGATAAGTTTTGGATGTTCTTAAGAGTTTCTGAAGTAAAGAGGTGGATGTAGGAGAGGGTGCAATGGAAGATGGGGTGCAACATTTAATTTGTTTCATCCGCTGAGTCAAATGAAGAGGAAAGGTAGGTACCATTGAAGTTGTGATTGGAGTGTTTGGATTTTGTCTGGATTTAGACTAGTGGTAGTAGGAAGCATGTGAAAAAAATTGTCTTTGTGCTTTCCGTGTAGGCTCACATAATGCGAGTCTGAATCTAAGAATTGCCACCTGACTCGACAAGTAGGGCAGCC